TGTGATTATAGTTTGTTCAATTGTTCTTTTTTTTAATGTGATTTAATATTTTATTTATTGTTTTAATGGTTTTTTTTTTTTTACAATTATTTATGAAAAAAATATGATTGTAGTTAGATACTATAAAAACAATTGTGGTTTGATTTGATTTTATTTTTTTTCTGATTTGATTTTTAAAGTACCAATTATTGAAAATGATTAGATTGTATTTTGAAAAAAAATTGTTATTAATTTTTTTAACTCACTGAGTTTTTTGAAAAAAAATTATTGTATTTTTTTAACTATCAATTCACTTAATTTGTGATTTGATTTTAACTCACTGTGTTTTTTGAAAAACAAAATGAATTATACTCATTAGGGTCACATAATGTACTAATTATTGATGATGATTAGATTGTATTTTGACAAAAAAAAAATTGTAATTGATCCTTTTAACAAACTATGTTTTTTGAAAAATAAATTATTGTGCTTTTTAATTATCAATTAATTTAATTTGTGATTAATTTTTTTAATTATTGATGATGATTAGATAGCATTAAAAAATTTGTGATTTGTATGATTGAAATTATCTCCTTTTGTTTATAATTTTATTTTTTTAATATGATTGAAATTAGATAAACATAAATACTTACAAAAAGAAAAATGTGATTGTAACTTGTTCAATGGTTCTAAATAATCTTTTTTATTTACTATTGTAATGGTTATTTTTTTCAATTTTTTTTTATTATGAGAAAAATGTCATTGTAGTTAGATAACATTAAAAAAAATTGTGTTTTGTATGATTGAAGTTATTTCATTTTGTTTATAATTTGATTTTTTAATATGATTGAAGTTAACTCACAAAAAGAAAATTGTGATTGTAATTTGTTCAACGGCTCTAAATAATATTTTTATTTACTATTTTAATAGTTCTTTTTTTAGTTATTTATTTTTATTATGAGAAAAATATGATTGTAGTTAGATAACATTAAAAAAATTGTGATTTGTATGATTGAAGTTATCTCATTTTGTTTATAATTTAATTTTTTTAATATGATTTAAGTTAGATAAACATAAACACTCACAAAAAGAAAAATGTGATTGTAGTTTGTTCAATACTTCTAAATAATTTTTTTATTTACTATTTTAATGGTTCTTTTTTTCAATTTTTTTTTTATTATCAGAAAAATATGATTGTAGTTAGATAGCATTAAAAAAATATATAATTTATATGATTGAAGTTATCTCATTTTGTTTATAATTTGATTTTTTAATATGATTGAAGTTAGATAAACATAAACACTCACAAAAAGAAAATGTGATTGTAGTTTATTCAATACTTCTAAATAATCTTTTTATTTACTATTTTAATAGTCCTTTTTTTCAATTATTTTTTTTATTATGAAAAAAATATGATTGTAATTAGATAGCCTTGAAAAAATTGTGATTTGTATAATTGAGTTATCTCTTTTTGTTTATAATTTGATTTTTTTAGGGAGACTTATTTATAAGTCCTGTTTCGGACACTTATGCTATGTTAAATCCTGTGTAATTTCTTATAGAGTTTCAAGTTCTATTTGTGTTCCACAAGATCCTATGAATTGTAAATAAATGATATTAATATACTATTATACACTATAATGGCAAAATCATATATAGGAAATTGAATGTTACCATAGAAAGTAACATTTTCACATTCAATTAAAAAAATCAAAAACCTAGTAAGTTTGCGAAACGTAACGCGACACGTTATGTTACGTTTATATAAGTGTCACGTTACGTTACGTTTATGCAGGTATCACGTCATGTTACGTTTATATAGGTGTCACAATGCTTTACGTTTATGTAGGTGTCACGTCACGTCACGTTTATGTAATGTCCCATCTGATATGGTCACGTTACGTTTCGCAAACTTAATCTATGGTAACATTCAATTTCCTATATATGATTTTAGAATTATTTATGATATTAACAACTAATATTGAGGGTAAATGTGTCAACAAATTTCACACAGGACTTATATGAACATAAATTTTTTAGTAGGACCATATGTAGAATAAATCTCCCTAATAGGACTTATAAATAATTTTCTCATTTTTTTAATATGATTGAAATAAGATAAACATAAACACTCACAAAAAGAAAAATATGATTGTAGTTTGTTCAATAGTTCTAAATAATTTTCTTATTTACTATTTTAATGGTTCTTTTTTATAAGTTTTTTTTTTTTATTATGAGAAAAATATGATTATAGTTAGATAGCATTAAAAAAATTGTGATTTGTATGATTTGAAATTATTTCATTTTTATAAAATCTTAAAAAACATAATTTATATATTAAAAAAAATCTAAAACAAATATAAATATCTATAATTATCTCGTGCATAGCACGGGTGATAGGCTAGTACTATATATTATGTAAAAAGGGTTTTTAACCCCAAGGCCTGTAAGAGCTTTAATGGGAAATGATAGAGAGCTCTAAATATAGAGCTCTAATTTGAGCTCTAATGATGTGTCAAAGCAAAAAAAAAATAAATAAATAAAACAAAACAAAGCACAAACATCACATCAGGGTGGGACCCACCTTCCTATTAGAGCTATTAGAGCTCCTATATTAGAGCTCTAAAGCATTTTTGGAGCTTTAATATCACAATCTAAATTTTTTAAATTTTTATTAAAAAAAAAATTTCAACATTTATTGATTTGATTAAAATCTCCTGATCAACATTTATTAATTTTTTTTAATCCACATGTCTACATTTATTGATTTGGTCAAAATTTCCTGATCAATATTTAAAATCCCCTCATACAAATAATTATAAATACAATATGTGTATAGTTATTGTACTACCTTTTTAACTTCTCTTATATACTATGATTAGTGATAAAATTATTAAATTATTTTTATAAAAAATCTTAAAAAACATAACTTATATATTAAGAAAAATTTAAAACAAATATAAATATCTATAATTCTCTCGTACATAATACAAATGATGGGCTAGTATGCATATATACAAATCAAAGGATAAGGTGACCACACATACAATGAGAGTTGAAGGTAATTACATAAACAGAAGACATGACAACCAACATGTGAGTGGTATCTCGGATCATATTTTATGTGGTCATTGACGTTGAATATTTACAAAAGGTAAACCAAGAAGTTCTAAGGGATCTGTACACCATTCTTTGGACTACCCATACGTTTGTTTGACAGATTATATTGAATGAAATTGTTAGTGAATAGATTATTAATGTGTAAATTGTTAATGAAGGGATTAAATAAAAGTGTGTTTATTTTGATGATAATGTGGGAGATAATTAGTGATAAGATTGTTAAATTATTTTTATATAAAATAAATAAATAAATTATTTCTATATTAAAAAAATTAAAACAAATATTAAAATAAACAAGTGCACTTGGTAAAAAAAATGAAATTAAAAAAATAATTTTTTAATATAAAATAGACTCAATCCCCTCACTATTTTCCTAATCCCACCCAAAATCTAGCCAAGTTAATCCCCCTATGTGAGGGTATTCATAGTCCCATGAGACTACTAGTCCCCTCCTATTTTTGTCAACCAAACGTGAGCTATGTAGGACCCACAGGATTGATAGTCTAATCCCCCCACCTATAGAACCAAACAAACATGGCCTAGTAATCATATTAGAGTAAATTTAAAGTTTAACTTCAAAAAATTTCCCTATCAACAAAATATATAGAAACAGATTAAAGGACAGATTGCATAACATTTAGAGAATGCAGCGTCAGAAGAAAGTAAATTGATTTGTTACTTACTTATAGCAGGAGATGGGATTTACTAATCAGGGACGCATAATACCTTTACGGGCATTGATTGAAGTTCATGAATTGAGGCACTTCTAGACTTCACCATCTAGTTGGGCCAAGCAATTCGAATCACAGGATCTAAAAATGTGTAGAATTTTCAAGCAACAACAATCCTAGTCAAAAAACCATACAGAATTGTTTACATTGTTAATCCTTTCAGTGAAGCTCTCTTTAAAATAAAATGGTATTGTTTTCACATATTATCATTACCCTTATTTTTGTCATAAGGACTAAAAACTAAATGAATTCACTACTTGGATCCCTGTCTTTAGGTACTGATAAAAACTAAATGAATTCACTACTTTTTAAGGTGCATATATCAGAGCTATTGGGCCATAAATGTTCTTCCATGCTAATGTGATCAGTAAGAGGAACAATCTTTAGGAAGAGGTCAGGTAAAAGGGTTTTCGGAGAGCCATGATTTTAAACAATCTATATACTGCACAGAGATTAACATGTTGCAAAACCAGCCTCTCCATCCGATCTATATCCTGCAAATTCAATGTTTTCCACATATCGAATAAGAGAACAGCCTGGAATAGCAACCCAAAGTGTAAGCAGAAAAAATAATTAACCTCTTTTACTCGAACCAGTTTAAGTACCATTTTGATCTACAGAAGGGAAAAAAAACAGTTTACACTAAATAATATCCAATAACGAAAAGGAAAACCAAACCAGAGTGAGAGGAAGATAATCGCATAAAACAACTGTCATTAAAAAAAGAAAAAAGAAAAAAAAAATGCAAATGTCTCATCTTTGGCCCTATCTGACTGTTGCAAATTACAAATATGCAATTTCTCATCTTTATATATAGACTACTAGCAAAACATTAGGACGCCAATATTTATGTTTTCATGTGGAAGTGTGTGGTAGGCAGCAATGGCAAAGAACTTAAACCTCACATTGCAACTGTCAATCCAACAGGGACGGAACTACTGATCACATCTCAACCAATTTCGAAGTGGCTGCTTCCAAAACTATCAAGAAACACTTCATTTCATTTGAAGATTGATTCAACATGTACAGATGATAGCTATAACCATACAAGAACGAAAACATAGTTTTAATCGGAATTCATTCTTTTTTAAGTTGCTTTTATCGGAGCCACTAAGCAAAAAATTCTTGTTTCCTAAAGCAAAAGATATTTTTCCTAATGCAGCCGCATAATAGAGAGATGTTTTGTTAGTTATTGATCAGCATAATAGCTACATATTATTATTGTACATACAGGAGTGGGCAATTGTTATCCTTCAACATGATAAGATACAGATGATTCTTAGGTTTCTTTTTAAATTCTACTTGATTCTTTAAGATTTAATTTCATATCACATAACTGGAGTAACATTATGTCATATAATTTTCACTTACATCTTATGGAACATTCATGGAATACTAAAATGAAGACCTCAGAAACTAGATCAATGATGATGAAATAAAGCCTACCAACTCAGTGAATTTTTTACTCCTGAAGTTTTGCACTGTGTGAACTTTCTATCTCCACCTGCAACATTTGGTAAGTAGCCTAGTTCAATGTTATTGCTTTGTCCTTTAAAACATCAGATCTAAAGTTCACAAAAAAATATAGAGGAAAAATCTTATATGCATGGGAGGAACTGAAAGCAGGGTGTATAATTAATCTAAATCCAGCTCTGAAATTCTCATTAGAAAAACAAATGAAACCTCTTTCTCTATAGAACAAGAAAGGAATGTATTTGGTGGAAAGTTAGAAGTGGCATGGGTTGAAGAATAATAGGTAATTGTTTGAGATGGTTTGATACACTTAGGCCTCGTTTGGCATGCGAGAGTTTTAGCCTAAAAGCCAAAAAGTTATTAAAAAAATCAAAAAGTTTATAACCTATACCAAAAAGTCAAAAATTCTCATTTTTCTCTACTTTTTACACATCTTTTCCTAAAAAACCAAAAAGTCATTCCAAACATACTAGTTTTTTTTTACCTCATATTTTAGCTAAAAAATTAAAAAATTACTAAAATAACATATTCCCAAACGAGGCCTTAATGTAGACCAATTACTATACCAGTGCAGAGGAGTGAGTTGGTCCAAGTTGAAGGTAAACAAAGGACAAGAGGCCGGAATGAGCATGTGATGGCCGTGGATTTGATTGAAATATGGCTTTAAACGATAACCAACTATCAAGATGGATCCACATATCTGACCTCAAGGAATTGACATTAAATCTGATTGAGTTGAAATGGCGTATATTTGCAAGTAAAACACTAATTAAAGAATATTGTTGGCATGGACAAATTTAAGTTGCATGAAAATGAAAACAAATAAACCAGGCAAATAAAAATGAGACATACCTTGCATGACTTGAGTAGAGGGTTTTTTTTTTTTTTTCTTGAGTAGAGGGTTTTTTTTTTTGATAAATATGACTTGAGTAAAGGTTGCAAGAAAGATGATCTGAAATATCTAATCGATTTTCCAAAGTGATGTTCCATCCCACTCTGCTCAAATAAACCAAAAAAATATTTCGTTAAATCTTCAGTTATGCTGGTATAAAATAGGAAATGAATTACAGAGTCTACTCAAATTCTAACAATAAAAATAAAGAATTAAGTAATTTAGAATCTACAGTAAGTCCTGTCCTAGCATCTACATAATGATTCTTCGTTCACATCAAATATTTTGTCATCACCATCACAGATTTTAGGAAGGAGAAAATGTTGGAAATAAACATGATCTAAGTTTACTGAAATTTCAGTTGACATACCGTCATCACCATCTGCTCTGAAACCTCGCACGTTAAAGTTGGCCCAAAAGCTGCAGATTTGATAAATTCACGCTAAGGAGAAGAAAGTGGACAACATTGAACCACTGAGTACCTGCAACAATTGTTTATATATAAATTTACTAAGGATTGATACATAAATATAAATTATTATACAAGGATTGCATTAGAAAGTTGTAAAAGGACAATAGTGTAAGTAATGTACTATACACAGTCAACCATTAATAAATTATAATACATCTCAAATACCATTATAAAATCTTTTGAGTGGCAAGCAGGTGATTGATGAATAATTTATTTTGGTACATGCATACTTCAGAAAGGGTTGGTACGGTTGTGGGATCGAATTCTTCACAATGATTTGGATCAATAGGAACAAATACATGACCTGGAAAATAGTTGAGTTGAGGAAATTAATAACAAGAAAGAAGCATTATGCTAATACTAAGAAGCTCCCAATGGCTAAACAAGCATACCAAGTCCAAGTGATACTACAGAACAAGCATTCATGACTTGTTTCTAACAAAATGCAATTCAAATTCTTATCTTGTAACAAACATTCAGTTTTTTGCTATTCTCAAGAAGAAACTTTCAAATATGCCGGTTGTTCCTATATCACAAATAAAATAATAGATACAAACCTGCTTTGGGGTGTATGCAGAATGGTATTTTCAACAAATGGATCCTATGTTTTGAAAACTGAGACATAGCCGAATAGGTTCCATTTAAATAAGTATACAAAATGTAGAATTCTATTCAAGTCCTAAAGAGTACACAATTTTCAACCACGCATGATGGAAGATCATAAGCAACATGCAATTGTAAAATGTTCTACGATAACTCATATCAAGCCTAGGATAAATAAATAAACGAAAGGAGGAAAAGAGAGGGAAGCATTCTGCAAGCCTCCATATCAAGCCTAGGATACGTATAAGAGAAAACGATCTCTTCAACACATCTGTGAAGCCCCTGGGCCTGAAAACATGTAATAGGATAGAACAAAATTATTTTTATCAACTAAAAGCACAGCATAAGATGTGATAAGAAATTACTTTGCTTCTAAATTAATGCTCATACAAGGACACATAAACTGCCAAAGTCTGACTCTTGGAACTCAAGAGAAAGTGAAAAATCTATAAACTCAGTCATAGTTTTGATGAACATCCAATGAGAAACACAATCATAGTTTCTTGAAAAATTCAAAACCCAACATAAACATAAATGAGCTACTAAAAAATAAAGCACAAAAAATAAATGAATTCTTTTCTGAGAGTAATTGAGACCAACTAAATTAACAATTCACAGAAAAAATCACCCTATTATCATATTCAAGGGGGGCAATCCATGGCTAATATCACAATAATTGAACATTGCGGAAAAAAGATTCATCAAGCACTATATATATACACATATATTTCAGAAAAACAAAGATTATAGGAGAGTAAGAAAAAGGAATTGAGATCAAATAAATTAGTAACAATTAACAAAATCAAATACCCTATGAAGAGACTGGCACACCTTTGTTAGCAAAACATTGACAAAGAGAGGATTAAAAAGAAAGGAGGACCAGAATGAAAAGTGCTTTTTTATTGAACAAAATAAACCTATAATTTCTAACGTCATAATGAAAAGTCTCATTTTAGTTCAAAAATCATAATGAAGAGTGAGGAAGGGCATTGTTACCTCACTTACTTATGACTTCAAACAAACAGGGCATCAATGAAAATGATAATGGGTACTCATTAAAGAATGAGCAATTGTTGTATTGAATGAGCACTGAGAGTCAGTTTGTTTTCTACTCCTAATCCTAGGAAGAGCCCAGAAGTCATGCCTCCATACTGAACTAATAAATGAACAGTGCCTAATTTAATATTAATGAGTTTTAGAATTGGAGAGAATAATTATTAACAGACAGGATGCCAAATTTGGCCTAGATCAACTAGCCCAGAAACCCACCTAAACTGATGGAGCAAAAGAACAAACACTCAAAGTTCAATCATAATTCATGTTGATAGCAAAACAACATTCCCACTGGTAGAGAACCCACTGGCATCCAACTAATTAGACAACCAAACATGCATAACACTGCATAGTAGGTTCAGAAACAAGGACAATGTAAAGTGGTTGGGAAGACAGTAAAATTATCCAATCAAGGGCAAGATGGTGGGATCTACTTCTTTTGACAGATAGTACATCCACATGAGTTTTTAAGTCTGAGAAACAAACAAATAAAGGGGGTAGGGTTGATAACAGTAACAAGCACCTGCAAATCATCTTCAAGTCTAATCAACTCAATGGCCTCCTCAATCTGCAATCTTCCCAGGAAGATTCCAATAGAATCAATTGCTGCCAATTCACAGTCATCTGTTTTCTTGAGAAGGATATCAATAAAACAGAGAAAATTAGTTATTAAGTTTGCATACCAAGGAGAGAAGACTAAAATCTTGTTGGAACTTCTTAATCAGATGTTCAATTATCTTGGGCCAATTGAGTGGAACTCTTTCAAGTTTTATCAAAGGCAATGTAAAGGGTCTGATTCAATATGTCTGTTACAAACATATATATGATTACATAGTTCCCCAGCACACTAAACAATGAAACAAAATCCAAAAAACCATTAGAGTTATTACAAATCCAAAGCTTCAATCAAATATCAACACACACAAAAAACAGCAAATCAATATTGGAAACAAATTTGAAAAAAAATAAAATTAAACGGGGTTGCTACAAATCCGAAATTTAATATAAAATAAATTCAAGTGTGCATGTAAGTTAAATGCAGAATTGCAAACGCATCACATTTGCACCCACAACTGGTATTTATATGTATATACATAGAGAGAGAGAGAGAGAGAGAGAGAGGAGATAATTACCTTGCGCTCCTTACAATAGGTTCGGAAGCAATGGCCTCTTCTAGAGCTTCAGCAGCAGCTGTAGAAGAAAGGGTCCTCCTCTGCAAGCTTCCTGCATTGCATCAAAGTATGAAAATCCGCATTCAGACTCAAATAATATTAAGACTGACATCACTAATTGTCAGAATCTTTGTATTTTTTATTTTGATGCTAGTCATTGCTAAGCCTGCACAAGTATGGATTGATTTTGATGCTAGTTATTGCAAAGCTTGCATAAGTATGGATTGATTTTGATGCTAGTCATTGTTTTTTCCAAAATTATGACTGTAAAATTTAATTTCTTTAAGTAGGAACGTCTGACAATGGATCCTCATTCGAATTTTTTCCCCTTGTATGGTGTACAAATATCTTCATGTGTACATAGCAACCCAAGACAGTTTTGGAAGACAAGTAAATATAATTTAAACAAATAATAAAATCAAGATTCATGATCACGATGATAAAATTGAAATTATAAATTAGTAATGACTTCTCCTCAGTAAATTTCCTCATATATCAATTTCAAACATTAATTGAAACAATCAAACCACAGCAACTAAATTAGAATTATGACAGAGAATGTGAAAGAGAAACAAATCGCTAGTTGAATAGTTGTGAATGCTAAATCAAATCTTTTAAATTTAACAAAATCCAATATTCAATTTCTAAATCGAAGAAACAAGACGTCGACTGTGACCTATCTTCACGCAATTGAACAGAGAGAGAGAGCACTGTTTTCGATTGTTGAGAGCAGTGAAGATTGTTGCTGGAGAGATAGAAAGTCTCTGCAAAGCCATAAGCCATTGATTTCTGCAACTCATTCCCAGCTGGGGTTTTCCCTAAAGATTGACTCAGTTTTCAGCAACAGTATACCTAAGAGCAAACCCCCTGAAACAATTTTCAAAATCAACAAGAACGAATAGGAGCTACCTCAAAATTAACAAGAAGCAAGGAGTTCTAGAGATTCCAGAACTGGCTGTGGATTTGAGGAACCCTAGACCCAATCTATGGACAGTGGACTGAATAAGAAGATCGAGACTGAAGAATGAAAGGAAACGAATTGCAAACCCCCAAGAACAATCACAAAGATCTTCAATTACCTGCTTCAAAGGCTTTGAAGATATGAGATGTTGAAACATCGCAGGGGTTCATGAGATCGAACGATTGGTCTATCCTTTGGTGTGTATGGAGATTCGTCAAGAGAGCAACCGACGAGAGAGTGAGATCGGAGACAGAAGTTAGAAATCTGAAATATATGGGAATCTGAAATATATGTTGTATTATATTATCAAATTAGGACCAACCCCTGTTGTCCCTAAAATACTTAAGTGAGGAGCCATCACTTCGGAGCATTTTATATGGCTTGAATGCCTACTTGACTCCTAACATATTATTTTTCTAGATTTTTATAGAGTGCTTTATGGATGTGCAGCCATATCAGATACACACTCATAGGCACTGTACCTTAGAGGACTTGGTGTTTTGCAGTATTGCACTACTGTTACTAATGCTCTACAACCTAGGCTCAGTTGCCAACAGTAGTTATAAGTTATAACCCATTAGATAAAATTCATATCTCATGATCTGCAGGGTGACCATGAGCGGGTGTTTGTGGAACTGTTCAACAAAGTCATTTCATTTTATGTTAAGAGTGTAATGTGGTACCTTGCATGATGGACTTCCAGATCAACCAATGGACTGTTCTTTCCAATTGTGAGAACCATAAGAATCATCAGTTTCTCATGGATCTAATCAGGAAGCAGGCCATATTTTATCATCACAGCAAGCAGTTCAAATTCTGAATTGAGATCACCAATTTGATGGAAAGCATTAAGCATCACCGAACAAATTTTTTGATCCAGGGAGATTCCATCAGATAACATCATACGAAGGAAAACTTTAACTTTGACTGTAAGATTTTTTTTGCACAATCTATTTATCACAGCACTATAATCTCTTATAGAGATTTCAAACCCCCTCTCTATCATTTGGCAAAAGAGTTCATCTACCTTACAGACATCACCCTTTGCACAGTGTGCTTTGATTAGTGTAGTATAAGCAACTTTTGTCAATCCAATATTTTGGTCCTGAAGAGAAGAGAACAGTCTATCAGCATCCTTTAGGTCTCCATATATGCAAAGACCATTGATGAGAACATTATATGTGATGGGGCTTGGCTGAAGATTATGTAGTAGCATCTCATTGTGCAACTGAAAGGCTTTTCTCATGTCATGAGCTTTGCAAAAACAGTGGATTAAAGTATTGTATGTGATTTCATCCGGGGAGATACCCTTATCATACATATCCTCAAGTAATTGGAGAGATTCTTGTAGCCTCTTTTGTTTACAGAGTCCTTTTATAATCACTGTGTATGTAACATTGGTTGGTTGTACCACTCCTGATTCCATCTCATTGAGCACTTCCAGCATGCCACATATGTTGCCCTCTTCACATAATGCATTCAAAAGAGTGGTGTATGTTACAGCACTTGGCACCAATCCATGTGCCTTGATGGTATCCAACCATGTTCTAGCCTCAGCTAGCTTTCTGCATTTGCAGAATCCATAAATAAGAGAATTGAAAGTGACTATACTTGGAGTAATCCCTTTTTCAATTATTTGTTTGTATAACTGTACAGACTCTCCAATTTTACCAACTTTTGCGTACCGATAAATCATGATATTATACAAAATAATATCCTCCATCAAGTCACCCTTTGTCAAAGCATCAAAAAAATTTCTCGCCTCTAATAATGTCCCTTTCTCAGAAAGGCCCAATAAGATGGCACTATGTGCATGAGCATTTGGAAAGATTCTCTTTAAGCACATTTTGTTGTATAGTTGAATAGCCTTTCGTACGTCTCCCTGCTTACAGAGACCATGAATGAGAATAGAATATGTGATAAGATCTGGTTTCAAGCCAATTGATTCCATCTCATGAAGCAAACTGAGTGCTTCACCGACCCGCCCCATCTTACACAAACTGCTAAGCAGTACACTATAAGAGATATCATTCAATTGAAATCCCTGTGAAAGCATCTCTTCCCGTAACTTAAAGCCTTCCTCTATATTGCCAGTCTGGCAATGTCCACAAATAAGTATTGTATATGTGACACTATCTGGATTCAACCCATTAAGCAGCATTTTGCGAATTATCTTCCAAGCCCCATTCATCATACCAAGCAAACGAAAACCTTTGGCAAGAATGTTGTAGGTTACTACGTCAGGCTCTACACCATGCCTTTCCATGTCATCTGAAAACTCTAATGCTTCTTCCATTGAGCCCGCTATGCATAACCCATGAATAAGAATATTGTAACTGTACGCATCAGGAAGTAGTCCATACTTAAACATCATACAAAAGAAAGATTTTGCAACATCTACGTAACCCATTTTACAGCACCTTGACATGAGGGTATTGAATGAAGCAACACAGGGCCCAAAATGCTTCCCTTCATTCTCTCGCAGGAAGGCTACTGCTTCTTGTAGCAATGACTGTCTGCACAGACCATCTATTAGAATTGAATTGGTGTGTTCACTCTGAGGAGTCCTACTAGCTTTGATTTCATCATATACATCCCACATGATACTAGTGTGCCTTAAGTTGTACAACAAACTGTTGTACGTCAAGATTGAAGCTTGGATTTTCAAGTCTTTCATCTTGGCAAGAACAAAGAGAGCATCATGGACCATCTCTGACCTTGAATAAACAAAAGCCAACATGTCCCATACCACACCACTTGATTCCCAGGCCCTGAATCTATTCCACAGCAGCTCAGAAAGTGAAGGTGCAGAACCGGAGCCTAATTGACATCACAAGAAATCTATAAACAATAAATGAGTAACATAAAATCCTGAAGCTATTAACTTAGTAATCTGAACCATAAAGACTTTGAACTCTCAGGCAATCACCCTATTTTGGAAAATTAACAAAAACCAGTAAACCAAAACTGTGAATAATTGTTTTATGCATTGTTTGGCTGATAAGGAAGATACATCCAAATAAAGTGAATGAATAAAATTTTGAATATTCTACATACATGCATATAAACCAAGACATAAATGAATAGCCTTAATAGTTTTTCAACTATTGCTTAACAAATCATTTTTTTTAAAAAATTAAATTGCCTTTCTTTCTTAAGAACATTGCCGAAAAGATTCAGACATCCTTCAGCAAAATGAATTATACTTAAACTGGTAATTCTCAAGCAAATGCTTTGTATCTAACAGAAATTATAAGGTCATCTCCAGTGCTTACTCCAAATTTACTCAAATTTACAAATTTGAGTAAATTGAGTAAAAGATTTATTTCATATAAACCACGCCAATAAACAACTCAGATTTAAGTATATATTCGAGCAAAAGCTTCAATAATGGCAAAGCGGCGAATCGGATAGTCACAAAATAGCCTTGAAATTTTGAGTAAACAATTGAATCTCCCTTGATTTGGGTAAAAATTTAAGTTTGAGTCAAAGAGTGGAGAGTTAATTCTTTTGAGTGATGTTTACCCCCAAATTTTAAATATAATGTGAATCATATTATGTATACACATGTGAATTGTACCTTCTTCTTGCAACATTTGCTGTACAAATGAACGTAACTCCTTGAGCCGCCTTTTTCGGGCCAAAACATGAGCAATAACGAACTGAGAAACCCACGAATGCCGAAATTCATACTCATTCCTCAACAAATTGAAGAACTTGATAGCAGACTCAGGGTCTTCGACTCCCAAATTATCCAAAATTTGATCAACCTTCCATCTCATTGAGCACTTCCAGCATGCCACATATGTTGCCCTCTAAAAACAATGGCTGTCAAAAAGGTGATTCCTTTTGAAGGCAGTGATGATTTCGAGAACTGGGTCTGTGGGATTGGCGGAGGAGGGTTTAGTGAAGATGAGTGAAGTGAGAGGGTTGAGGATTAGGGTTTTTAGTGGGAATCGGAGGGTTCTCCATTGGTGGATGTGATTGAGCATGGGTTTTTACAGAGCACCGTTGTTTCGCCACAATGATTAAACTTTCAAGAGATCGAGAGATCGAGAGAGAGAGAGAGGAGGAGGAGGATTGAGACGAATCGGTATTTTGAGAGAGAGGTGGGTTTAGGGTTTTAGAGGGAAAGGGTTTTTGATAGAGCCGTTAATTTAAAAAAATAATTACAAATAAATGATAAATTTTACAAATAATATTGGTAATTATAAATATATTTTTTATTTATAAATATGTAATAATTTTGTACAAATAAATACCACTTAAAAAGTATTTTTTTTCCCTTTAATATTTCGTTAAAAGTGGGTTTGGTTGCAATGGTGGGAGGAATTGAGGCCATAGCAGCTGCCGTGTGAAGGTTTTGTCATGCATTAATTTTGATAATTTAAATTAATTTTGTAATAATTGTTTATTTTTTACAATTCTTTTTTTATATATAAAATTAATCTAAACATGTGATTATCGTTATCCGATTAATTTTATTTTTATAAAATAATATATTTAACGAATCTTAAAATGTGAACGATTTAAATTATCGACACAAGACTCAAAAGTAGGCGAAATGAATTAGACAACACCTCTCAATCTGATTTAACATTAGAGAAAAGTCAATTCTTTATTTTTGTTTTTTTTTATAAAATGAATTATTAACAAGGTTTTGATAAAACAAAATTTAAAACAATTAGTACCGATTATAAAGTCACAAATGGAAGTCAATATATATGGATGTATATTTTTAGGGATTGTTTGGGTGTCTTAAATAAGTATATTTTTTGTCTTCTTGGACTAAAAAGTTGAGGGAACAAATATAGATTTTTGGGTTAATTTTTTGACTTTTTATGAAAAAATGTGTATTAAAAAATTATATAAAGAAGTGTGTAGGAGAAGATTAGAGATGTGTGTTGTACAGCCATACAATCGGTTGAGCCGAATTGATGGTAAAAATTATTGGCTACTTTTCGGGTGTTGCACTGGACTGTTTTGTTTGGCCCGTAGGGGCCATCACGGGTCTCATTTTGATAATCTGAACCGTTGAATATGTATAACTCGTCGAGTACTATATGCCTATAAAAAATCACGTTGATCGGATATCGATAGCTATCTGATCGGTTTTGTTTTTTTCAATCATTAATTATAACACCATTTATTTTTTTTATACAAAATTGATTTGATCATGTAGTTATCGATATCCGATCGATGTGATTTTTTACAGACATATGGGTATGTTTGGTTTGTGTTTGAGAGATGTGTTTTAGAGATAAAAAGTACGAAAAGTTGTTTGGTTTGGTTTTTTTCAAAAGATGTTTTGGAAAATTATTTTGAGAGAGAGTTTTGAAAAAAGTGATTGATTTGATGTGTGTCAATATTAGGTCATGAATTAGGTGTTTGTCTGTCTAACGGTTAATTTCTAAATTATTATTAGTATTTTTTTTTTTGCAATTGATTTACATAATCGGGACAAATATTTTCTGAAAATTTTTAAATTTTTTATGTGCTTTAAAATAATTTTGAATTGTATGTTTAGTTATGAGTTGTAAATTTTTGTATCACATATCAAATGTCACATCAATAATTTCCCACTCAAATCAAACCTCTTTTCCAAAACTATTTTCCAAACTCTTTACCAAACAAATTTTCTACACTCAAATCATAATTTCACAACACACAAACTCAAAATACAACTCATACTCTCAAATCACATTTACAAAACTCTACCAAACACTACCTATATGTGTCAAAATTTGAACCTTTAGATTGCTTCAAGCCAAGGGCTGAAAATGTTTTACTCTTATTTGTCCTATTTAGACATTTCAATAATTGAGATCAAATACAATCAAGATCTAATGGTTCAAGATGTCTCTCACCTTAGCTCACGTGCTCCTCTCAGCTCAAATCTCTCTCTGTTTCAATTTTCAAATTTTGAACACACCCCCTCTCTCTTTCTCTCTCTCTATCAGAGCCCATTCCCTTGCTGGAGACCCAACCCCAATCTTCATCTTCTTTCAAGGAGAATCTATCCTCCTTTCAGAAGCTCCTTGCAGAAGGGGTTTTTTTATCTTTCTTTGCCAGGGGTGAAAATTGAAGACTGTAGGACATTGAAGAAGCTTGCATTATGTAATTTCACAAAATCAAAGTGGGTGGAACAATATAATCTGCTCAAGGTTTGAACTAATTTTGAAAAGAATGAATACTTTGCCATGATTTATATTTGTAAATGATTGTACAATTGTATTAATACTAACATTCTATTCTGGTTGTAGGATGAAAAAGGTAAAAGTAGTAATGGAGGGTCAGTAGTTCCGGGAGGACCTAATGCGATTGTATCTGGTAGGTCAACAAGTGTAAAGAGATCATGTGACGGCCAATTTCAAAATTTTCCAGGTTAGACCATATGTTTCTTTGAGAGTAAATCATTGGATGGTTTAGAGTCAGTTTACACAACTTCCTGTTAAAAAAGAAATACAGTTAAAGGTTGAACCGCAAAATGAGTTTTAAAGTTGAATGAGTAGACTTAGTTTCTGTTATTTAAATGAGCAAGTAGAACATAAAGGACAAAAGGATTATGCATAAGTTCATAATTTTTTTGTTCCAAACCGTAATCATGATTTTTTTTCGCTCTTTTCCTAAATAACATAGACTAATTCAATTGTGTTGGTTGTGTAAAATGATAATTGAACGGAAATCTATCTTGACAATTATTTGCATGATTTTTCTCAGAACATCTTTTGGTACACATTGTATTTAAACTTATTTTTATTCATCTTAACAAACTTATTCAAGAGAAGGTGGAGCTGAATATTCCAGAGAAAGAGAATATTTGACAAAAAACATAATTTTTGACATAAAAAAATTATTTTTTATTTTTTATTGATAAATTAAAAATTGTTTATCAATCCCATCTCCTATTTTTATTTTTTATTTTTATTATATATTTTTTGAATAAGGGAGAACAGTTTTTATTTATTTATTTATTTATTTTTAAATTTTACATTTCGTTTGAATGGCTGTCCATTTTTTCTTCCATTTAATTTATTATTATTATTATTATTGTTGGGTTTTGATTGTTGTGAAATAGGATGATGAGTGACTATAAGGTGGAGAAGTTCTATGTGGATTTTCATTGACCCAAACAGTAAATCATCTATACCCATCTCTGATTTTATTTATTTACTTATTTAATTTTATATTTTTTAAATAAGGGAGAACGATTCTTTTTTATTTTTAATTTTACATTTCGTTTGAATGGCTGAGATTTTTTTATTTTTTATTTTATATTTTTTGAATACGGGTGAACGATTTTTTTTTTATTTTTTAAATTTATTTTTAATTTTACATTTCATTTGAATGGCTGAGATGATTCCTAATCAATATCTAACGGTTGAAGTATGTGCAGTGATTTTAGGATTGGATCTGTGTTCTTTAATTTTTAATTGTTGTTGGTGTTGCGATGATCTGCGTATTGTGAGTGCATATTGTTGTTGTTGATGATGAATGATGATGAAATAGATAAGATACATGTATAAGACTTGATCTGTGTAAAGTAAATTTTTGTAACTAAAATTTGTACATATAAAAAGCTCTGATTTGTCCAAATTGATGATCATGATGAAGAGGTCGAAGAGTGTAGCAAAGAGGTCGAAGAAGTACTTGGAAGAGGCACCTACAAATCTGTTTTATTTTTAATTTTTAAATTTTATATTTCATTTGAATGGTTGCCCTTTTTTTTTCCTTCCATTTAATTATTATTATTATTATTATTATTATTATTATTATTATTATTATTATTTTAATTGTTGTGTTTTGATTGTTGTGAAATAGGATGATGAGTGACTATAAGGTGGAGATGTTCTATGTGGATTTTCATCGACCCAAAGACAGTAAATTATCTATACCCATCTCTGATTTTATTTATTTATTTATTTAATTATATATTTTTTGAATAAGGGAGAACGGTTCTTTTTTTTATTTTTAATTTTACATTTTGTTTGAATGGCTGAGATTTTTTTATTTTTTATTTTTTGAATACCGGAGAACTTTTTTTTAAAATTTATTTTTAATTTTACATTTCATTTGAATGGCTGAGATTATTCCTAATCAATATCTAACGGTTGAAGTATGTGCAACGATTTTAGGATTGGATCTGTGTTCTTCTTGCAGATTAATTTTTAATTGTTGTTGGTGTTGTGATGATTTGGGTATTGTAAGTGCATATTGTTGTTGTTGATTTTAGGATTGGACTTGTGCTCTTCTTGCTAATTAATTTTTAATTGTTGTTGGTGTTGTGATGATCTGAGTGTTGTGAGTGCATATTGTTGTTGTTGATGATGAATGATGATGAAATAGATAAGATACATGTATAAGACTTGATCTGTGCAAAGTAAATTTTTGTAGCTAAAATTTGTATATATAAAAGGCTCTGATTTGTCCAAATTGATGATCATGATGAAGAGGTCGAAGAGTGTGGCAAAGAGGTCGAATAAGTACTTGGAAGAGGCACATACAAATTTGTTTTATTTTTAATTTTTAAATTTTACATTTCATTTGAATGGTTGCCCATTTTTTTTCTTCCATTTAATTTATTATTATTATTATTATTATTTTAATTGTTGTGTTTTGATTGTTGTGAAATAGGATGATGAGTGACTATAAGGTGGAGAAGTTCTATGTGGATTTTCATCTACCCAAAGACAGTAAATCATCTATACACATCTCTGATTTTATTTATTTATTTGTTTAATTTTATATTTTTTGAATAAGGGAGAACGATTCGTTTTTTATTTTTAATTTTACATTTTGTTTGAATGGCTGAGATTTTTTTATTTTTTATTTTATCCTTTTTGAATACGGTAGAACGGTTTTTTTTTTAAATTTATTTTTAATTTTACATTTCATTTGAATGGCTGAGATGATTCCTAATCAATATCTAATGGTTGATGTATGTGCAGTGATTTTAGGATTGGATCTGTGTTTTTGCAGATTAATTTTTAATTGTTGTTAGTGTTGTGATGATCTGGGGTGTTGTGAGTGCATATTGTTGTTGTTGTTGATTTTAGGATTGGATTTGTGTTCTTCTTGCTGATTAACTTTTAATTGTTGTTGGTGTTGTGAGTACATATTGTTGTTGTTGATGATGAATGATGATGAAATAGATAAGATACATGTATATGACTTGATCTGTGCAAAGTAAATATTTGTAGCTAAAATTTGTACATATAAAAGGCTTTGATTTGTCCAAATTGATGATCATGATGAAGAGGTTGAAGAGTGTAGCAAAGAGGTTGAAGAAGTACTTGGAAGAGGCACATACAAATCTATTTCGTTTTTAATTTTTTGATGTTTTTTCTATGATGATGAACAGATAGGATTTGGTGATTATGTTGTTGATTAACAGATAGAATTAGGTACGTGCTTGGGTATGATTTGGATTGGTGTTTGTGTTTCCAAATTGGTGAGCAACTTTGTATTTGTGTTACGAAGATAAGAATGAAAGGAGATGTGAGGTTGCTAAAAAATTAGTAGAGCAGCTTTATTGAAATATTTAGGTGGGTTGAAAGAGTATTTTTTTTTTTTTTTTTTTTTGGGACTCATTTTGTGGTATGGTATACAATCTGATCCTTCGGTTTGAAATAATAATTGATTCTCATGAAATGGTTTTCAAATGGATTTTAACACATTCTTAAGTGATTTTTCAAATGATTTTTAATGTTTCATTGTGTTGGATTTGTATTATTTATTTATTTATTTTATTTTTTTGTTGATTAGGTTGTTTTTCTACAATTTCGGTTTCGGTTTGTGTTTGTGTTTCTAATATTTATGTTTCTAAGATTTCTGTTTGGGTTTGTGTGATTAGGTATGCAATCAATGGAACCACTGAAAAAGTTGGAAACAAAGCTTAAGAGACACAAAGTATTGGAACAGAGCATTGAAAATCATTATGTTTCTTTTCAATCAAAGCAAAAGAGACATCAATTTGGGTTTGTGTTTATAAGATTGGGGTTTGTATTTGTGTTGTCAGGCGAGGGTCTTGACATTGGTTTGTGGGACTGTTGACATTGGTTTGGATCTCAACATTTTCTTTTTTATTTATTTTTTCTTCAACCCGTATGTCTCTCATGGGTCATTATTTTTGTTTTATTTTATTTTATTTTTATTTCTATAACCCAATTTAAATTTTCATTCATAATTCATGGACTATTTCTTCATTTGTTAAAGACATGGTGAAGAAATTGAAAAGAAACAGAGTAAGGAAAGAGATAGTAGTCGGTTTTCTTAATTGTGCTACGCATTCAAATGCTTGGCCACTATCATATTTTTATTTATTTTATGTGCTATTCAAATTATGTTGATATATTATTATTATTTTTCAATAGGAATGCAAAATGTGTTGATATATTATTATTTTTTTCAATAAGAATGCAAAAAAATATGTGAAAGACAGACCTCGCAAAAGACTGATGGCTACTTTTTTCTACCGACAAATTGCTTGGATTGTTAATGGTATTTATTTATTATTTAGTAAAATACGTAAAAGATCTCAGATTGTTCAGATTGAAAATATGCAAATAGTTTAGATTAAAAATAAATCAGAAATTTAATATTTAAATTTCTAAAATTAAAAACTCAATAGTTTATTTTTTATAAGTATTAAATTCTAAGTTTTATTTTTTATTTTTGGTAATTTTTTCTAAATTTTAATGATACCTAAAATTATTCAAACAAGATTGGCTTATTTGTGGTGGCAGCATACAATGTTTCTAATATATTCATATTCTCTAGGATTACTTAAATGTTAAGGATGCATTAAATTAATTAATTAATTGACATTATACGTAGAAATGATAACTGCATTTTAATCCCAATATTATTTACACCGTGCCTTCAGGCACGGGCATACACTAGTAAAGTTACAAATGGAAGTCAATATATATGGATGTATATTTTTAGGGATTGTTTGGGTTTCTTAAATAAGTATATTTTTTGTTTTCTTAGACTAAAAAGTTGAGGGAACAAATATAAATGTTTGAGTTAATTTTTTGACTTTTTATGAAAAAATGTGTATTAAAAAATTGTATAAAGAAGTGTGTAGGAGAAAATTAGAGATGTATGTTGTACAGCTATACAATCGGTTGAGCCGAATTGATGGTGAAAAATTATTGGCTACTTTTCGGGTGTTGCATTGGACTGTTTTGTCGGCTCGTGGGGGCCATCACGGGTCTCATTTTGATAATCTGAACCGTTGAATATGTATAACTCGTCGAGTACTATATGCCTATAAAAAATCACGTTGATCGGATATCGATAGCTATCTGATCGGTTTTGTTTTTTTCAATCGTTAATTATAACACCATCTATTTTTTTATACAAAATTGATTTGATCATGTAGTTATCGATATCCGATCAATGTGATTTTTTACAGACATATAGTACTCGATGAGTTTTACACATTCAACAGTTCAGATTATCAAAACGAGACCCGTGATAGGCCCCTACAGGCCGAACAGCAGTGTGTGAAATTGCACCCAAATTGTGCAATTTTGTTCGGCCATACGCAGCGCAGAGCTAAACAGCAGTGATTGCTGAGTTGTACTTTTGTATGAAAAATTAATTTTTTAATTTTTTTTTGTGAATAGTGATAACTTTTTAATTTTTTAAGTAACTTTTTGACTTTTTATCTTTTTAAAAAGATGTCAAACTTGGTCTTAGTCTTTCTCGATCATTTTACTTTAGGTATAATATAATGGTAATAAATAAATAAAAATTTTAATTTGTACGGTTTCAAAGAAGCATTTGGTATTCATTTAGAAACTCCAAATTGATTGGTTAGATATTTTTTTTCATAATATCAAGTTACACAATAAAATATAATGGAATAAATCACACTATTCTATCTTGCATGTTTTGTCTTTTTACCCATTTAAATATGATAGTTAAAAAATATAAATTTTTTTTCTCACTCGGATGAGAAATTACAATTATTTTTTAAATTCTTACACATATTACACCAAATGGACTATGAGGGTTAACTTCTACTTTTTTATATATTCTTAAGTGTTAGCTTGCAACAAAAAAATAGACGAATGTGATAGTCAGTAGTGGGTGGCCAAAAGTGATCATCAAAATTAGTGATCGGAGTGTTGCGGAGACTACTATCTATCATTTTTTAAATTGTAGAGATGTATATATAGATGTATAATTGAATGAAATGAAACCGAAAGATCCTAAACATCAATTCTAAATTTTTTGACTAATCTTGTAGAAAAATTCTTGATAGGTCATGAAGAGCTAATTCTTCTCTGTATGTTATGTAGAGCAATCTTATTTGTTTTATTAAACATTCCTTTATATTTCCTTAGTTTGATAATATTTGATATCTGGATGTTGACCTAGCACTACAACCACAAAAATAGAGTTTAATGTAGGGAAGTGAAGTTGCATAGAAATTCTATAATACATGCCTCAAAATGATATGTGTATTGTATGTTTCAATTATGACGTTTGTATTTTTAATTATAAATTGTTATCGTGTTAGTTATAATCAAATTCATAGTGGTGTTAATTAAAATTTATTGTGATTATTATTTTGACTATGATCGAAAAAAAATTTAGTTATAAGAATGTAATATTCAGTTATGACTGAAAAAATTTAGTTATGACATTTATGACAATCAATACTACAACTCTACAAATTATAATTTGCATATGATACACACTCTCTTTCCAAAGTTTGAATTATGCAACGACTCCAACTTACAATTTGCAAATATATTTAACTTTTGCATTGGATTTGAATTTAATATATAAGGTAGCACAAGGACATCATTTACCTATGTTGCACCTTAAATGGCTTTACTTTTGTTGCCTATGGGTCCTAAATTGCTGCAAAACAATAATTCCATCAATCCATAGTAGTGATATGAAAGACAGTAGGATAAATTATGGATAGCATATATCTATCTCTGCAGGCAATAAGTTTGCCTCAAGGCCTCGGGGGGCATATGAGTAGAGGCTAAGTATGTTAATCATGGACCCATTGCACTTGCATTGAGACAAACACCCCAACTGAAATTGTGAATTCATTTTACAGTTCCCTTATTATATATGCAAACTACTCTAGAACACACAAAAAATAGTTATAGAATCAAACACAAAATGCATATAAATTGATAATCTTTTTTAGAAGTGGATCCCAACAATATATTCTATAAAATCTTATCCATGAGTGTATTCTATGTTCCATTTTGTGTTAATTTTTGTGTTCGTTGCAAAATGGATAAGTTTAGGAACACAGAATCGAACACAAAATGTATGTATCCCAATAACATATTTTGTAAAATCTTATCTATTCATATGTATTATATGTCCATAGCAGAATTCTATTGAAAAAATCTAATAGCACACATACCAAACATAAAATGTATATGGATGAAAATGTTTCTCAGAAATGAATCCCAACAATATATTTCTTAAAATTTTAAATATTCATGTTTGTTGTGTGTTTCGTGTCCCTTCACAATATAAGCAATAAAACTGTACTATTTCATCATTTTAAACTAGGGCAAAGCGAAAAGAAGCTCTCAAAATGATTAATATTGTCCAGGGTTAAAGAACTTTGTGAGAGCCATGTTAAAAAAAGGGACAATTACCAAAAAAAAATAAAATCCAAGATTCATACATAAGATGTCTAAAATATTATTTTTCATTTAGTTTAATGACTAAAATATAATTTTTTTAATAGACTTTATTTAACGAAAATAAACAAATAATTTAGATTGAAAACAAAACAAAAGTTTAGAGTTTAAATTGATAAAACTGAAAATTCAGGATTTAATTTATTATAAGGTTCAAACTGTAGTTTTTTTTTTTTTTTGGTTGTAATTTCTCCTAAAAAAAGCAAATCACAGACTGCGGTTTGTTTTCTCTGAGTCCAATAATTTTTTCATTTTCTCTAAACAGCGGTTTCATTAATTTTTCTTTACTTCATAATCCTTATATCAACTATGATATATAGTATAAACCAAACCAATAATTTTGACAACTTTGAGAAAATTAAGACTACAGGAGAAGAATACATAGCGAGGATTTTAAAATCTGCATAAACCAGTAACAATTTTTCTTCAAGCCACTTTTCGAAAATGATATGGCTAAATAGACTCCATTAACCCCTGGGCGGTAGCGCAGTTGGCTTGGGGGGAGAGCCTCAAAGTGCTGCTTTGCATTAAATTGGCGTGGGTTCGACTCCCCTCCGCTGCGCGAGTCTTGACTTAAATGGAACTTATGTTGAGGGGTCGGTGCAAGCTCCCAAGTTAGAGTCTCGCATCCGGAACGGACACTCGTCATGGGCGCTGCCTTAGACCTACGGGAAGATGTGAGGATTTTCCTGTAACAAAAAATTTGACTCCATTTCATCTGTTCTATAGAAAAAGATTAGTGATAAATAGATAAATAAATTATTTTGATGATAAGTCCTACTTTCTAGCCATATTGTCCTAATCTGCAGTTTAGGATAAATAATTTGATTAAGTCAACTTGTTTTCATCCTCCAACTAGATTCTTTTTTTCTTTTTCTTTTTTAATTTTTGATCCAGATGTCTCATCTGATACCTATTAAATCACTTAGCCCAACCACTACTTGACCATTAATTAATGCCATGCAACATTAATTCCAAACAAAACCTTTGTTCAATCTCTGTAATCTAAGGTTATGTCAATATCATTTTTGTTGCTTTACAAATTTTTTGAGCTCTGGGAAGTCTAATTCAATCACCTAAATATTCCCAAGTATCATTTTCAGAATATGTGTATGTGTATATATACACCTATATTGAAATCGGTTTCGCTTAAAACCTAAGGAGAATGAGTTCTCTGTAGTGAAAATTCACATTTCACCAACCAACTTGAAAAACAAAACCTTTATAAATTTCAAACCAACTTCACATCTACTCAATTGAGGCAAAGGAGAGGACTTTATTTTCTTTTCCTTCTCAAGAATGTCGAAAGAAAATGTAAGAAGACATGTTCTTGAGAAGAACAGAAGTCCTAGAGAAAAAGAGAAGACAAACAATGGATTCTTGTCCAAACACCTAAAGAAAGTTTACCCGATTAGCCTCCACAAGAGCATTTCGACTCTATCCCTTTCTTCGCTATCTTTATCTTTGTCACAAAACTCAAATGATTCTTCTCTCACAGATTCTACTATTTCACTGGATCAGAAAATTTCGTTGGCACTGCGGTTGATTGCACCTCCGGAGAGAAGAGATGTCCCGGTATTGGCTAAAAATGTTCAACAACATAGTCCAAGCCCCACCGGTGAAGGCATGAAGAGGTGCAACTGGATCACAAAGAATAGTGGTAAGTCATAGTTCTCAATCGAAGTTCATAGAATTTGGTATTTTCTTTTGCATATGCATGAAATAATTCAAAATCTTTGAACATGTTGCATTAAAATCTGCAATCACATAAAATGCTACATTTCAAAGTCTTTGCATAGTTCACATTGAACCTGGCTAACACACCACCAGGAAATCTTCATGTTTGGTTGTGTTTTCAGTTTTGTTTTCTGGAAAACACAGAAAACATTTTTTTGACGAACTGTTTTTGAAAACAACTCTCTTTTTAAGAATCACAGGAAAGTTGTTTTCAAAAACTGTTCTTGCACGAAAATGAAAACGACATAAAAATGAGGGATACTTTTTAACTTTTCATTGTTATGTTTCCAAAAACATGAAAAATGAAAACAAAGAAAACAAAAACAGAATCAAACAAGTAGGGTCCTGGAGCATCAGCCATGCCGAATATAGAGTGGAATATGTATTCCCTGCTTTCCTACTAAGGAAAATATGGAGAAAGAAGAATGATAATTAATGATAGCCAAATAGCTTGCTTAAAAAATTAATCTTGAAACTCATGAAGATTTTTCATTTTTAATCTGTCAAATAACTTGCTTAAAAGATTAATCACGACACTCATGAAGATTCTCCTACTTCATTTTTTAATCTTGGCTTTTGTTGTGTGGTTGTTACAACTGCTCTTCTGCTTCAGCATCAGTGATGATACATGGCAGTGACGCTATACTATACTATGGCTCTGTTTGGTAGAGGTGTGGGAAAGTGATTATAACTTATAGCCTAACAGCTTATAACTTATAGCTGTGAACATAAGCAGATTTTTAACTTATAAATTAAGCTTCTCCTCCTCCACTCAAAGGATAAATTGATTTTTGACTTACAAAAAGTTATAAGCTGTATTGTTAAGCTGAACGAAACACATCAAAATAGCTTAAATTAAGCTGAAATAAGCTGGAAATAAACCCTACCAAACAAGACCTATACCAGCTATTATTTCCATTAAATTAATAAAAAATTGCTATGATTAAGCGCCACGTCATCTAATCTATACTTACTTTCTGCAATGTTTCCAGAGCATCTGCCTGCTTCGCTATTATAATATATTATCTGAAAAAAATAAAAAAAGATAAATCAGGCAGGATATACATATACATATTTCATAATTCATATCCAGAGCTAGGATTTAATTAAATAAAAAAGTAAAGATTGATTTATTGTTTTTACAGATAAAACTTATGTACAATTTCATGATGATTGCTGGGGAGTTCCGGTTTACGATGACAAGTAAGTCAATTGTTTGGCTTCCTCTTTCCTTTCTTTTCTTTTTTTCCATTTATTTTCAATTTAAGCTCATAAACCCTTTTGGAGTAAAATTTTATTAATGGGGAAATTATGAAACAGCGAATTGTTTGAGCTGCTTGCAATGTCTAGTATGTTGATGGATTACAATTGGACAGAGATTCTCAAAAGAAAGGAATTGTTCAGGTAAATTTATTTGTTTTTCTCACTACCAATGCTAGTAAAAACTTAAGATTTTTCTTTTTATTTTTTTTGCTAAATTTTTTTTAGTGAATACCATATATTGGACCCAATATTAGTACAATAATGAGCATATATGTAGAGAAACGTTTGCTGGATTTGATCCCAACACTGTTGCAAAAATGGGGGAGAAAGAGATCATGGAAATAGCATCCAACAAAGCAATAATGCTAACAGAGTGCAGAGTGAGGTGCATTGTAGACAATGCCAAATGCATAGTGCAGGCAAGTTTTGGATAATTCATGTCTTCACAAGTTTTCTACTCCGTTTGTTTTGGCATAAAGCTTTTCTCTATTTTCTTACCTTTGTTATGTTGAAAAATCAAATAACACTAAAATATTTTATGCGATCAACAGAAAACAAAATTATTTGAGTGAAAAAAAAATTTTACTTTTAAAAATGAAAAATGTTTTTTGGACTAGAGGTAACACCAATACCACCCTACCATTACCTCCACCGTTGCCAATGTTGCCGCCATCACCACCGACACTTTTACCACCACCACCCACCCACACCACCACACAACAATTGTTGTCACCGACACTCCAGCACCATCATCACTAACCGCCAACCACTACCATTACCGCCACTACCAACGCCACCACCGTCACTACCACCACCACACAACCACTGCCATCTCCAACTCACTACCACTGCCACCAGCACCAGCACATCAGTTATACAGAAGCAACCAAACACAAAAACTTTTTCTGCAAAATACATTTTCTAGAAAATGTTTTTCCTGAAACAAACAGAGCATATGTATCAACTAACATAGATACAGTAGCTGAACTTGAACTACGAATGCAGATTGTGAGGGAATTTGGATCTTTCAGTAGCTATATGTGGGCTTATGTAGATTACAAACCAGCGATCAACAGATACAGATACCCAAGAAATGTTCCTTTGAGATCTCCAAAAGCAGAGGCCATTAGCAGGGACTTATTGAAGCGCGGTTTCCGGTTCGTGGGACCGGTGATTGTGTACTCATTCATGCAAGCTGCAGGAATGACAATTGATCATCTTGTTGATTGTTTTAGGTTTAGTGAGTGTGTGAGCATTGCAGAAAGACCATGGAGGCATGTCTGACATGAAATCTACAAAATTTTCTTGAAATAGAAGTAATGGCTTTTTATTTGCACAGTTATTTGTTTGTAAGTTATTATGCTATTGTACTCTCTTCTTTTTTTTTAATATATTTTTGAATTTGTGCTATTGTATATTATAAGCATTGGATTGTTTATTTTTAAACAAAAAAAATTGGATTGTTCAGTTACTCAGCAAATTCTGCTCTTAATAGCTGTCTAGACATTGTAGTTAATCACATCACGCAACGGAATAGGGTACGATGTCTAGATATTGTTCTAGAAGATGAAAATATCTTCAATCCATGAGAAAGAAAATTAATCCACAAGGACAAAAACATAAACACTCTGAAATATTAGTAAGAATGAATTGCCTCTTATGGATGTTTACATCTCTATTTGTAGATTAATCATAATTCTTGCATAACATAAATAACTAAGAAAAGGGAAAATCACTAAAATGACAAATTTAAGTCCAAACTTGAATACTCCTTGATTTATAAGACATGCCAAAATAAGTGGTGCTGAAAGCGCAAACTTCAAAACAAAGTTATAGATAGAATAAAACTTTCCTAAAATAGGAAAAAGCTATTTTGAAAGCCTAATTGATGGAATTTAGCCAATTCAACATGCATCGTTGCCAAAGGCAATGCATTGTGTTCAACCTGTTATGGCTGATCAAACTAGTACTAAATTTGAAGTAATTCTGAGATCGTCCCAAATTGTCCTATCTCATTAGTATGATCCCCTCATTAGCATGGCTTCTCTTTCCTGACCTATTCTTGGACTTGTACCGCACCACTTATTTTAGAAACTCTTTGGCTACTTGTCCTATATCATCATTGTAGTAGACTGACAATGATGACGACCGTAATTTCTGGGTTATGGTGATAATGAAGTAGTGTTCTTATGATCTACAGATAAATGATTCTGGTACATAGTCAAGTATATGTTTCCTTATCATGGACGATCTCAGAAAACCCTTTCTTTTTTTTCTTCTCTCTGATTATTGTGTAGGTTGTAACGAGTCAGTTAGTGATTCTCTCTCTCTCTCTCTCTCTCTCTCTCTCTCTCCTCCCATACTTGCTTGGCAGGGATTCCAATAGATTAGAAAAATGTAGCTTCTTATTCTTTCTAATGTGTCTGAATCTTTCCATTAAACTAGGCAGTGTCTACTCAATTCTGAAAGTGATTATCTTATTCTATAGAGTTATGACGGCTCATTTTCCTAATTAGGGCTTTTTTTTTTTAAACTTAATTACATATACATAATAACTGGTGTATTTTAAACATTATTCCCAAACTAAGGGAAAGCATGATTAGGAAAAACATTTTAAGAAGCGCAAAAACATTTTAAGAAGCTGTTTTGCAAGAATTGATAAACATCCTTTTTTTTTTTTAGGGTAAATTACAAATACACCCCTCCGGTTTGATTAAAATACGAATCGCCCCCTGTAATTTTAAAAATTATATTTCACCCCTTGAGGTTTCTAATTTCATAACAAATCGCCCATTTTATTAATAATCATCAAGTCAATTAACAGTTTATAATGATAGTAAAAATATGTTTCAATTAATAATTTAGGTAATTTTATTATTGTATAGGAGAGCAATTATGAATTTCATTTTTTAGTTAATTCTGTTAAATAAAAAATTCTAATAAGGGGGTATTTATAATTTTTTAAACCACAGGGGGCATGTATTTTAAACAAACCTCGGGAGTGTATTTGTAATTTTTCCTTTTTTTTATCATCAGACAAGTCAAAAATCAGAAGATCAAAGAATGCATCACAAAATGCTATTGGATTTAAAGAATATTCCCAATACTCACCTCCTAGGACAACAATATATGAGCTCATCCACTGGATTTCAAGTTCCTATCTTCCACAGCAAGATATTCTGCACTACGCTGTCTGTTGCAGCCTTCAAGAAAACTACGCCATATCAGAGCATTCGGCAAGAAAGGCATGCCAACAATTAATTGCTCTGCTTCCTTGAGATGTCCATATCTACTCAACAAGTCCACCATAAGAACATAGTGATCCATGTCTGGTTCAATCCCATAATTTGTTTTCATTTTCCCAAAAAGTTCCTTTCCTTCATCCACCAACCCACCATGTCTGCACGCTGAAAGCATGGCAACGAAAGCAACTCTATCTGGCTTAAACCCAACTGCCTCCATTTGTCTGAACCTTTGTAATGCCTCATCTGCACGACCATGAAGTCCAAGTGCAGAAATTAGAGCAGTCCATGAGATAAGATTCTTATCTGTCATTTCGTTGAATGTTTTCAACGAACTCTCGAGGTTCCCACATTTACCATACATGTCTATCATTACATTGTAAACAAACATGTCGCAAAGTTTGAAATCAAAATCAGTCTTCATGATAAGGCCATGAAGTGAACTACCCAAAGCAAGGTTGCAAAGTTTAGTGCAAGCACTTAGGAGGCTAACATACGTGTAATTGTCAGGGTGGATGCAAGCCAGTTGCATGTGTCCGAATAGTTCGAAAACCTCCTTGTAATCACCATTGCGGGAACAAGCTGCAATCAAGATGTTCCAAGAAACAAGGTCAGGTTCCTCAAGAAGAGAAAATATCTCTTGTGCTTTATGATACTGGCGTATCCTATTATAAACTCCGGCAATAACATTCGAAGGGACAACCGGAAGTGGTGTGTTAGTAGCAGGAACTAAGATTAGGGCATCAGATATCAAACCATTTTTGGTGTATGAGGTAATGAGAGAGCACAAGACATACTCATTCTGGTGAAAACCCATTTTTATTATCAACGAATGAAGCTGCTGCAACTCCAGGGTGAAGGACGATTGAAGTACAGTTGAAAACGAATACTCATTTGGCCTATAATCCATTCGAATCATTTCACGAAGCATTGAAAAAGAGGATAAGCAGTGCTTCTTTGAGTAACCAAAAATTAAAGCATTCCAAGAAACGACATTCTTCTCATCTATATCATCAAAACAACGACGTGTGTCTTTCAACTCATCATGTTTTGCATAAAAATCAACCAATGCACTACCAACAAATACATCAGATCCAAACATGTATTTGATTATTTTAGCATGGATGAATTTTCCATACATCAAAATCTGCGAGCTCGTACAAGAATTAATAACACTAACAAATGTTGTCTGGTTAGGCCAGACTCCATCCACATACATTTTCAAGAAGAGCTCTAATGCTTTGCCCGGATGATCACTTTTTGCCAATGCTCCAATGATTGTATTCCATGACACAATATCCCGGACAGGAACCTCCCTAAACAATTTCTCTGCTGTGTATGAATCAGAGAACTTCACATACATATTGATCATAGCATTTGCAACCAAAACTTTGCAACCTAACCCATTTTTAATCAATAAACCATGAACTTGTTCTCCTAATTCCAAGTCTTCGTCTGACACAAATCCAGATAAAACACCCACAAATGAATATTCAGACAAACGCCACTCTATCTTCATGAGCTCACGGAGCATGATAATTGACTCTTCAACAAAGCCATTACGGCCAAACAATGATATCATCGAATTCCACGTAACCAAATTCTTTTGAGGCATGTCTTCAAAAGCTTTAAGGGTTTCATCTAAGCATCCATGCCTCCCAAACAAACCCAACAATGCAGTTCCTGCAAAAGCATCCGTGTAAAGCAATCCACTCTTTATAATCAATCCCTGCAAATAAAATCCTCTAAAAAGATCCAAAGACGGGCACGACAAAAGTCCTCCGAATGTGAACTGGGTAGGCTCAAAACCTCGACTTCTCATCTCAGAAAACAACTTCCAAGCTTCCTCTGCATTCTTACAACGACCATAAGCACCAATCATCGTATTGTATGATACTATGTTTCTTTGAGGCATTTCGTCGAACACCTTACGAGCAAGCAATAACTCACCCACCGACACATAGTACGAAATGGTGGTGTTGTTAAGAAAGATGGGTTGTGGAAAATTCGAACCCATTGTAATGGCGAGTGCGTGGAGAGACTTGGTTGCATTGATTGATAGGATTCTTGAGCGTTCTTGAAGCAACTGAAGAAGCCATTGGTGGTTGAGTTTTTTTTCTCCATTTAAGGGCTGATTAGGGACTGCGTGATGAGAATGATAGTGGTGATTAGAGACCGAGAAGAGAAGTAGTTTGGAAGAAGAGAGGTTTTTGGTGAAATTGAAGAGCAGCACAGACCTTGAAGCTGGCTTTCTCATGCAGTCCCATAAAATCTTTACAATTTTAACAGTTTTTCTTTTTTTCACTCTCTAAACTTTTTTTTTTTTTTTTCTCCTGCCAATTTGTTTTTGGAAATTGGAACATTGGAAGGGAAATAGGGGATATTAGCATCAGGTTCACATTTTATTTATTTATTTGTTATCTACAATATTAAATAAATTTATGTTTATTTTTGACAAAAATAAAAAAAAACAAAAAAAAAACAAGTTTAGTACTTATTTAAAAAAAAATGATTTTGAAAACAAGTGAAAATGATGACCGACGAAAGGCGTTGATGTAAAGATAATTAGTGGCAGTGGCAAGTTATGGTCTAATATGGTTGGTAGTCTCATGGAGTTGTTGCCAATCATAGCTAATGATTGATCATGGCTAGAGATGATGGTCGAAAGTGATTTATAACAAGAGGTAGTGTTTAGAGGTGATTGTTGATGGCCAGAAGTGATTACGGAACATCACTGATGATGGAAGTCAGAGGTGGATATGGTGGGTGGTAGTAATGAGCGTTGGGAGGGGGTGTGTTTGAGAAAATAATTTCTTACCAAGTGAAATCAAATTTTTTATAATTACAAAATTTTAAGAAAATAATTTCTTACCAAGTGAAATCAAATTTTTTATAATTACAAAATTTTAATAAATTTTATAAAGTGTTTATAAATTTTCGAAAACAAAAATAGAAACCAAATCATTTTTAAAATTTTAATTTTTCAGTAAATATAAACTCTACTAAATAGGCTCTAAATATTTACATAAAAAAACAAATTCATATTTTAAACTTGAAATCAAGTAATAAAGTAATAAAACTCATAATGACACCAAAATTTACAAATCAATATGCATCCACTTTTCAAAATCAGATTTTGAATTTTCAATATTTTTTTGTTTTTAATGAATTTTTAAATTTTTTTTTGTCAATTTTTATTTTTTAGGGCAAATTACATATACCTCTCTCGAGGTTTAGCTAAATTACAGATATCCCCTGAGATTTCGGAAATTACAGATATTCCCTGAGGTTTATATTTTCATAACAAATTGACCCCTTAGGTTTATATTTTTATAACAATTTACCCTCTAATTTGTTATACAAATAGTACCTTTAAGGGTATCTATAATTTCTCAAACCTCATGAGAGTATCTGTAATTTTGCTAAACCTCAAGGGGTATATGTAATTTGTCCTATTTTTTAAATGCTTTCAACCTAGATATACTCAAAAAGTAAAATATGTGTGAGATTTTTTTTTAAAATTCAAATATGAAGTTGAGAGTACTTGAAAGGTCAATGATAGGGGTGTAAATTTGGTCCTTACTGTATATTTTTTGTGTTCTGTATTATTTATTGAATTTTTTTTAAATTTGTTCACAAATATTTTTACTTTTTGAGTACATCTAAATCATATGCATCTAAAATAAATTGATCAAAATTTTAAAAAAGTCACTAAAAAAAAATTAACAACTCAAAATCTGATTTTAAAAATTAGATATTGTACGGGGAGGAAATAATTCTCCTCGTATAATCCTGTTGACCAAGTCCACGCTCCTCCGTACGACGTCGCTTTGTCACCTGAAAACACAAACGTGAGCTAGCCGGCGGGTGTGTGCCGGATTTGAAGTGATGTGTTAGAGAGGTGATGTGACTTAAATAAGATGATGTGACTTAAATAGGATAATGACTTTTTGACTTTTTGAATTTTTTTAAGGATGCCAAACTTGGCCTTATAATGGAGAGAGTCTTAATCATGAACTCAGAACTTTATTTATCCTTGACAAGCATCACAGTGAATGTATTTCTTCTACGAAATTTTTACGCTGTATTTGATTTAGAAATTTTAAAAAATATTTAAAAAGAAAAAGAAAAAAAATAGATAAAACATAAATAAAATATATTTATATTTATATTTCACTTAATTTTATATATTTTTTTCTTTTTTTTTAAATCCCCTAATCAAATAAACCGTAAAATTTTGCTTCGTAGACTGCACAACACACTACTATCAAACACTATTATGACTTGTTTAAATTCAAAGTTACTACTAATAGCTGAGCTCAACAACAAAATGGGGTTTTAGCTTCATCGCCTACAACTTACTTTTATTCTTCGCTCACCATATTTCTAAGGACAGACGATCCCTAGAATACAGATAGAAAATGAGTCAAAATCACTCGGTTCTGTTAAAAATTACTTTTAAAGACTGACAGAAAAGAAATCAAAATGATTTAGCTTTCATTTAGAGTATGGATTAACTTTTTGGCTATTTAAAGTTCTTGTTTAGAATGATTTTTTTGATTTTTTTAACTTTTGTGAGAGAAAAAATAAAATAATTATGCTTTTAGGACATCAATTCTATTTTATAACCAACACAACCAAACATAGTTGGGATTTGGAATTCTATTAATTCTTTCTCCTTTTCCTTTCATTTCCATTTCCCTTTCCATTTCCCTTCCCAAATCCCCCAACCAAACACAGCGTTAAAGACTGACAGAAAAGAAATCAAAATGATTTAGCTTTCATTGATGGTGTGTTTGGTTGAGAGATTTAAGGAGGGATTTGGAAAGGAAAAGAGAAAAGGTGTGTGAAACTATGTGAAATATATACATATTTTATTCACATTTCACCTACCTTTTCCATTTCCCTTTCCAAATCTCTCCCCAAATCCTCCAACCAAACACAACATTAGAGTATGGATTAACTTTTTGGCTATTTAAAGCTCTTGTTTAGAATGAGTTTTTTGATTTTTTTAACTTTTGTGAGAGAAAAAATAAAATAATTATGATCTAAATCTGACTTTTTATTTTATTAATTTTTTAATTTATTTTATCTTTTTATAATTATTTTAACCTAAAAAATTCATGCCAAACGTAGCCTTGGTTACAAAGTTAAATTCCTTTCTATCTGGGGTTGCTTTTGTAGGGCCATAACTCATTTTTTAGGTTGAGTGATTTTTTTTTTTTTTGGGTTCTTTTTTCTTTCTTGTGCAGCTCAAGACATTACGGTTGCTTGTTATTTATGGATTTCGAGAAGAATTTAAAAAGAAAAAAAATATATATATAAAATGTAAGTGAAATATAATTAATTTTATTTAAATTTTATCTAATTTTTTCTTTTTTATTTCTAAATTTCTTCTCAAACTCATGAATCAAACATATGACAAATTAACAAGAAGCAAAGTTTACACTCCACTTGTGTCACCCGTCCGGTTAGAAAAATTATTAGGTACTCTTGAAATACCATATGGTCATACTCTCTCACCAATCACCATTAATTATATCCTTCATATTTCTCAATTATCTAATACAAAATCAAATATCTCGCATTTTTCACTAATTATACTATTATAAAATATTACGTGACCGTACCAAAACTACCGAATAATCATATCATCCTCCTAGCTTAAATTGCAAGCATGGAGAATTATCATATGGCCCCTCCAAAAAAAAAAAACCACTCATTGCACAAGATTGTGCTAAGATGCGAGTAACTTTACTGCCGGACAAGTGGCGAAGTGATCCAAACGAGCAATGCCAACTAGAGATTGAGATGCCACATATGTCGACATTAATTCAAACTATAATCATGTTGCTCAATTCTAATTTACTTTTTTTGAGAATTAGCTCGGAGTCCATTTCGAAACATGCATTGAAAGGTAGATAGATACATTTGAAAATTTCATATATTATCTTTATAATTACTGCTACATGAATTAATTATTAATTTACATATTTTAACTTTCTTTTTCAAGTTCAAATAGCTAGGTAAATTAATGTTTTTTCCTTGTCCTGCTTGTTCTCTTTTTCATTCATCTTCTTCTTCTTCTTCTTCTTCTTCTTCTTCTTTATTTATTTATTTACTTATTTATTTATCAGTTGTGTGTGAGATTTTAATGAGACTTTTCACACTACAACTTTATGGTATCTGCAGTCAAAATTAAGGATGGCCGTTGATGGACAGACCTCGTCTGCTCCAAAGATTGATTGCTCATGAAAATCTCCACCTAACATCTATGCTTGTCTGCTTTAAGGTTGATAACTTTGACAGCTAACATTGTCTTTGTTTTGTCATAAAATCATAGAGTTGGAATCCAAAGCTCTCTACATGCTTTCATAATTAGCCATTAGATCTGTTATTGACAATCACTTTGCAAGAGAACAACTAACGAGGTCTGAGTCCCACTTCTGTCCTAGTTCTTCATACTAACTTAAAATGGAATGGAAGCATGGAAAAAAGAATACCCATATGGTCCCCTGCTAAGAAAAATTGAAAAAATAAATTTTTTTTTTTGGACAATTAAATGTCTAGGCCAATTTGCGAGTACGAATGATGGAAAATTAATCTAGACAAGTATTAGATATAAATTACTCATTTTCATATTTTCACACTTTTTTGATAATCCACTGTTCATTAGGGAGATGCCAATTAAAATCGAGGCAAACCCCATATGAATTTGCCTTGACCACAAGACCAACCTTTTAAGATTTGATATTTAGTTCTAATATAAAATAGGACAAATTACAAACATCCCCCTCGAGGTTTGGTAAAAATATAAATTCCTCCCTGAGGTTTGAGAAATTACAAATTACCCCCTGAGAGTCAAATTTTAATCACAAATTAGGAGAAATTATGGGGGAAACTATATGAAAATAAAAACCCCAGGGGACAATTTATTATGGAAATATAAACCTCAGGGTTCATAATTAGCCATTAGATCTGTTATTGACAATCACTTTGCAAGAGAACAACTAACGAGGTCTGAGTCCCACTTCTGTCCTAGTTCTTCATACTAACTTAAAATGGAATGGAAGCATGGAAAAAAGAATACCCATATGGTCCCCTGCTAAGAAAAATTGAAAAAATAATTTTTTTTTTTGGACAATTAAATGTCTAGGCCAATTTGCGAGTACGAATGATGGAAAATTAATCTAGACAAGTATTAGATATAAATTACTCATTTTCATATTTTCACACTTTTTTGATAATCCACTGTTCATTAGGGAGATGCCAATTAAAACCGAGGCAAACCCCATATGAATTCGCCTTGACCACAAGACCAACCTTTTAAGATTTGATATTTAGTTCTAATATAAAATAGGGCAAATTACAAACATCCCCCTCGAGGTTTGGTAAAAATATAAATTCCCTCATGAGATTTGAGAAATTACAAATTACCTCCTGAGGGTCAAATTTTAATCACAAATTAGGAGAAATTATGGGGGAATCTATATGAAAATAAAAACCTCAGGGGACAATTTATTATGAAAATATAAATCTCAGGGGGTGAGATGTAATTTCTCAAACCTTATGGAGAAATCTATATTTTCACCAAACCTCGAGGGAGGTGTTTGTAATTTGCCCCAAATTTTATAAAAAAAATTCTTAACCATAATGATGTAGTAATTGCATTTTTTTAAATATAAAGCTAACTAGAGAGATCTATTGTTTTAAAATGATAAAATTAAAACTTATTAGATTATTTTGTGTTAATATTTTTATATATTTTTTATTTATTTATATAGCACTATTATAGTGAAACCACAAAGATTTTCTACTTAATCCTAATTTTGTGTGCATGTTATTTATAATACTTTTTTTACAATAAAAAAAATTATAATTAGTTGAAATTTCTAACAAATAGAAAAAAAAAGAAAAAAAAAGAAAAGAAGAAGAAGATGTATATAGGGGTGTTTTGGAAAGATGATTAAAAACTGATTTTTTTCTTCTCCTTTTTATTATGTTATGAAAGAGATAATATAACTCAAAATAAGTTAAAAATTGATTTTTTAATTTTTTTTTTAGTGTATTGTCAAAATATCCCCATAGGCCAAGTTTGGCATCTTTTAAAAAATCTAAAAAGTCAAAAAGTCACTATCCTATTTAAGTCACATCATCTTATTTAAGTCACATCACCTCTCTAACACATCACTTCAAACTCAACCCAAATCCAACCCATATTTCATAAAAAATCAAAAAGTACACTTATTTAGTCTTTCCAAACTTGGCCATAGTCTTTACACCTAGACAAGTGGCAATGTGACACAAAGCAATCAAGGCCAATCAAAGATAAGGCTGCCACGGTTGTAGACATCCCAAAATATAATTGTGTCGCTGACCAATTGTTAGGTTCGGTTTGGCAACTTAATTGGGTTAAAAAAATCACAAAAAATAAAATAATAATGTTAAGTGGCTTGAAAATTTATGACTTGAAACACTTAAAATGACGTCGTTTTGACACATTTGGACAATATAAATTCGGGTCATCAAGTATTTTTTAAGATAAAATAGGCTAAATAAATCAATAAGATAAAATGTCACATTTAAATCATAATTATTTTATTTTTTTTCTCATAAAAGTCAAAAAAATAAAAAATAAAAAAACCAACCAAATGAACTTTTTAATCCCCAACTAAAAAAATCAATATCAAACAGTAACTTAATGTTTTTGCCCCCAAAAAAAATAAATTACACTGATTTTTCTTGATGTTTGATAGAAGTATACTAAATTTTATAATTTTGATATAATTAAACTGAATTCTTTTAGAATTTTAATTTATATAACACTTGGCTCCCATTTTATTATAAATTCATTAGTCGTATGAATTAAAAAACAAATGTTTATTTTACAATGAGTATGTTTGTGTCTTTGTACTATCTATATTATTTTAAAAAGCCAAAAAATTATTGCAAGTTATTACGTCACTCTCTATTATTTTATACGTCTGTTTATAAAAAGTCAAAAAATTATTAAAATAATTAATTTTCAAATGAATTCACCTTACAAAAAAATCAAAAAATCCAAAAAAACTATTTAAAAAAACCAATTACCAGACGAGTCATTAATTACTTTTTAAGGTAGCTGCTAAGGGTTATTTTGAAAAATCAGTCTGAAGTTGATTTTTTGAATTTTTTTTGACTTTTTTTATAAAAAAAAATTGTAAAAAAATAAAGAGATGATGTGATTCACAATAAATTAAAAGTCAAAATTTAACTTTGAACCAAATTCCCAAATTAGACCTAAGTCAAAATTAAGCAGCTTGCTGATGATGACCATAGATGGAGAGACCTCGTCTGCTGCGTGGATAGACTGCTGATGATCAAGACCTCCACCAAACCAAACATCTTAGCTTATTTGTGAGGATAACTTGGATAGATAAAAAAGTGTTTTTGTTATCAAATCAACCACCTACGCAAATTACAAAACTAGCCGCTTATACAGACCATTAACACAACCCCTCCGATCAAACCTTTTAAATTCCAAAAACCGGCCACTGATAGAGACCATTAACACAGTCCCTCCAATCAGAATTTTTTACTCGTTTTCAAGCTATTGAAAATGGACTGTTTACTTTTTCCATATCTATCTTCAATTGTCTCATATTCAATGATGATGAGTGAATCTTATTGTTGTACCCAGTTGCCTATCTCAAAAACAAACAAAACAAATGTTTTTATCCAATTTCCAATTGATAGTCTCGTTGAATTGTATATCTGCCATGTGGGATTCTATCCCGTTGAAAAAAGGGATAGAAAATACCAAGATTGAGGATAATTTAAATTAATGTTGTATTTTGTTAATGGATTTAGATAAAAAAATTTAAAAATAAAATAAAATATAATTACATTTCACATCCTTCTATCATTTCCTTTCAAAATCCATCCATAAACTAAACGCAATTCCAATTCGCAATCGCTATGGAGTTCAAGCACCCCCCCAGTGCCAAGAATATGTAATAACTTCTCACGCGCATTTCACAAGCATAGAACAGAAAAATAATTAGGTAATCGATTGGAAAATAAAATAACACAGCAGAAACGTACAGCTCTAAAACCAAGATGATATAGATTCAAGATCAACACAGCCAAGCAATGTAAGTCCATACCCACGCATCTTTTCGCTTGTCATCATCACATCCCAAACATTATCATCACAAATTTATCCCAACAATTTGGCACTGCCTGTCTAGCTCCATTCATGCAATCTCACAATATTTACACATCATTTTTTTCTTCTTTTTGGATTTTCCATTCTAAAATTATTTATCAAACAAGTACACAAGGAGTGAAAGAAAAAAAATGAAAACATTAACACAAAAGAAAAAAAAAATTAAGGCATGCATGCTACTACTCAGCTTCCTTGAAAAGAATATTTACAGCACTCTAATTTGTTTCTCCTCCCTACTACGACAAGCTTCTGCGGAGAAAAAAAAACCATAAAAACCAAAAGCCTACCCTAAGAATCCTTCACTGCCACAAACCTTGCAGTCCTCTTATTCCTCATCTTCAGTCCTCTTCTCTCTTCTACCAACATTATAGTAATTATTACCCTAACACTCAAAACTGGCACGAAGTCCCGAGCCTCTGTCTCTGCCTCTGCCCAGAAGTCACAGACTTGCGCTTGGCAAAAGCTGGGGTTAGCAGCTCTTGGAACTTTTCTAAAAACATTGACCATTCATCCTCATTCATGTCTGCTAACTTCACAAAGCTCGCGCTTGAGGGAAGTTGCTCGTTTGCACTCCTGTGCCCGGATGATGAACTTGTCAGATACCCATGTTCTAATTTCGATCCGGGAGATTTCATGGTTTTCTGATTCTTCTCAGCTAAACTGGTATTCTTGAGGGAAATCGATAGCTTTGAAAGGGTGGGGATCTTTTCACGCAGAGGCTGGCAGCCGACAAATCCATTTTCCTCTTCTTCTTCACTTGCCACCTCTTCCTCTTCCTTGATACTTTCCTCCAGTTTGGAAAGTGTACAACGGCCATTACCACCTAAAAATCCCAAATTGAATGGTGCTCTGGTCAAGAAGTCATCTGATGGCATTTTCGAAGTGAAATCGGATTCTGCTTCTTCACAGTCAATATCAAATTGAAACTCATCATCTCCTGATCCAGCCTTGGGGGATAAGATTTGCCTCTCTATTATCAGCTTCTTTGACTCAATGCATACAACCTCAAGCTCACTCGGTTCCTCCTCGCCACAACGAAACTCCCTACTCATCATCTCACCAATCTCCGCAAGGCAGAGCCCAGAAGCAGCAGCTTTCTTGAGAAAAATTGTACAGAGAACCAACACCCGCAGGCAAGCCTCTCGAAAAATAGGGAGCTCACTTCGAAGCTTCTGAGAGTCATCAAAAGGATTAAGATTTTCTATATACTCAAGCTCATCCTCTGAAAATGGAATTGAAGCCTGAGGCCAATGGATCCATTCAAAATACGGGTCCTCCAAACTTTCTGGCAGGCAAAGGCCATGATCAATTGGAATGAGTTCCACTTGATCAAATCTCCCAACACCGTCTAGGTTCCTTACTAGAAGATTCCCAGCATGCCTATCTGTGTTGAAAATCCTAATGTCCAAAATCCCAATTCGATGAACAGAGGCAACTGGGAAACTTGAAGTCCCATGGTCACTGGCATCAAAATCATGTGGGATAAATTGTTGGAAAGATGCAATCTTGCTAACCAGCCTTTTATTAGGAGGCTTGTTTCCATTTACCCCATCATTGACATTGAAGATTGAGTGAGTAATCTTCACCAGTGCAGTTGGAGGTACATTAGCAAAATGATCATAGTCAAGAAGATAAGCTGCAACTTCTCTGAATCCCGTTTCCCCAACCCTCACAGAACATTTCAGACCTGGTTGCCCAAGAGCCTTACCCACAAAGCCTTTTGGATTGTTTGGTGCAAAAGGTTCTTCATCCGTTGGCTTCACAATTGCAACACTTTCACCTCTACTATTTCTAAAATAATATGCACCTCCAAGCCCACTATGAACAGGAATAGGATCAACCCCAATCTTCATTGCCTTGACAATATCCTTGACAAGCTGTTTAACTCTAGCAAAGCATTTTGAGTTCCCTAATATCTCAATAGGACCACTACGATCTCTCTGCTGGATATCCCTTCCAGTAGGTGAAAGACAGGGAGTTGACGAGCTTCTGTGCAATAAGTTCCTTGTTAGAAGAAGAGGGGAATCATTTCGAATGGCACTAAGGTCATTTTTCAAAACCATATCACCAAATGTCAGTGAGCTCTCCTCAGTTGGAACATTAAGAGCAAGCTGCAACCTCCTTTTCACCGTATGTGCATTATCTCTCCGATCGAGCTCCATCCCCAATACACAACCAGTTTCAGTTTGCACAAAAACACGTCTCCTCCCAGTTTGCTTTCCATCCATACTCTTGTTTCCGTGATACTCCCCGCTAAGCGGGCTGTTGAACATTGCCACAGCCATCTGAGTCTGAACAGGGCTGTCCAAGTTACGAGACATGAAAGGAAGAAAAAGACCAACAACAATCACAGGCGGCAACAGAGATGGCGGCAGAAGAGAGCTTCTTCCTCTCTCTCGAGCAGACGCCAAGCTCAGAAGCCGACTGTGATTGAACAAGTGAAAAGTACAAAACCCAAACAATCATTAATCAACAAATTGAATCTAAACAGCCCCCATATATCTGAAAACAAATAAACAAAATAGCACACTAATGGAGACTGAAAAAAAGATGTAGTTCGATCACAACACAACACAACACTTGGAGAACCGTCAAATGATGCGGAGGAAGCAGGAGAGGACAATCTGTAAAGGAAACAAGACTAAATCAAATGAGGCAAAATAACTCATCCATTTAATCAAGATATCTAATACGCCAAACTCAATATTGCTCATGAATGATTCTTTAATGAAAATATCACCAACGAAACAGAAACAGCCACCCACTAATTTGCCATCTAATCCCAGTTAAATCATGATGGATTAGAGTTTGATGAGGACTGCAATAATGATCCTCTAAGATTCAGCTGTTAAATATCTTTCCCTCCCCTAAATTTTCTCAGCAACCAAACCAAGCACAAACCCAATATCGATGAGCGATCTACCAAATGGAAATATAAAAATAAAAATAAAAATAAAAAAATGACACAAAAAGAGACTAGAACACCAGCAGAATCTCACAAAAATAATCAATGGTCAGCCACTTCAAAACCAAATGAACATATAATGTTATGACAATTTAAAATAAAGATTTACATGCCACAACTGGCCGATCTAAGAAAAACAGTGCTAATAGCATTCTTAGCATTTAATCCAAAAGGCCTTTCTTTACAGTTTAACCAAAATTAGCAGAAATGGATAGAAAGCCCTATATATGTAAGATTAATATTGCAAAAAATTAGCAGAAAATCTCTTCAAGAAAAGAAAATAACTTTTACTTGTAAAATCAGTGAAAATAGAGATAAGATTGAAAAGGATTAGAAAACGTAATCTCTCAATCTACGATCGACTTGCATGAACCTCATCATTTGCATTGAAATTCGAATCTAATCGAAAAATCGAAAAACCGTGCTAATAAAAAATTACTAGCATTCTTAGAATTTAATCCCAAAGGCATTTCTTTACAGTTTTACCAAAATTTGAAGAAATTGAAAGAAAGCCCCATATTTGAAAGATTAATATTGCAAAATTAGCAAAAAGTCTCTTTAAAAAAGAACTTTACTTGTAAAATCAGTAAAAATGAAGATAAGATTGAAAAGGATTAGAAAAAGTAATCTCTCAATCAAGATGAAACTCATCATTCGCATTGAAATCCGAATCTAATCGACTCGACCTCGATACTGCCTCGACACAGATTAAGCTAATTAGAAGATATCATCACATTGACAAAAACAAAGAAATCGAAGTGGTCAACTCACCAGACTGCGAGATCTGAGAAAACTACACAGAGAGAGTGAGAGAGAGCGAGACGACGATTCAAGAAACAACACGAACCGTCGATCGACAAGATTCGAAAGATCCAATGGTCCGACTCAGAAGGTTCAAACGGCTAGGGTATGGATCAAGACGGTCCCTGAAAAATTCTTCTCCAAGCCAGGTTATACCTTCTCTTATTCTTCTTCTTCTTCTTCGCCCTGTGCTTCTCTCTCAAACTTTCTCTCTCTATATCTATATCTATATATGAATCTGTATATATATGTTTGTCGCTGTTTTCGGAGAACGTTCTTTTAACTCTGGTCTCGATGAGTGAAGAACGTAACGCGCGAAACCTGGTTAGATAACTAACCCTGGTTAGAGCAAAATACTCGCAAACTGGGTCCCCCTCTATAATTTTTTTTTTTCTCTCTCTCTATAATATGGGGTTCTATATATCTCCAAAATCTAAATTGGAAGGGTCTAGAACGGTGATCAGAGCCGGTGGATTTAGAAGTCTGTGGGAAGATATCTGGGCTGTTGGATGGGGGAGCGGTGACGTGGAGGGAAGTGATTGGGCAATGACGTGGCGAGGTCAGCGTCGAACAGGTAGTGGCAGCGAATGAGCTATTTTTATAATTTTTAAAAAATATATATTACCTCTCAAATTTTTTATTAAATAAATAATTAAATATATATAAAAAAATATTTTACTTTCATTTAAAATATTTTACCATTTATTTAGTGAAAAATTACATATGTTTAACCTTATGTATAATTTTAAGAGATATGTTACAAATTCCAAATAAATTATTAAATTTTTTACTAAATATTTCACATGACCATTGAACTCACATATTTGAATAGATCTCATCTCCATATAAGAGATTAATAAAAAATTTAATAATTTATTGGAGATTATAGCATTTTCTTACTTTCAGTGCTAAAATAGGCCAACTTACAGTGATGTTTTAAGAAGTTGATAAAAAATTATTTTTTTGTGATGTTTTAAGAAGTTGATAAAAAATTATTTTTTTAATTTTTTTAATAACTTTTTTGATAAAAAAAATTAATCATTTTAGCTAAACAAACTAATTTTTTTAATCAAAAAAAATTAAAAAGCAAAAAAACTTTCTTTGCCAAACTGTCCTACACTGACAATCTGTGAGCCCAGGTGGCCAATGGGCCAGGTGTCATGAAAAGACGAAACTGACCTCGGATTCAAGGGACGAAAATGCCCTTAATGCTGGGATCGAATAATTTTGAGGTATAATTTGAAATTTCATTTGACAAGTAAGATTTTGAAGTTTTTGTCCTATTTTTAAAAAGTTAAAAGCCCAGCTTATGATGTAAGATTTTTTTTAAAATAAAAATACATTAATAATGTATAAAAGTAATATAATAAATTTATAATTTTACAAGTGATATGATATAATATAATAATAATTTTAAAAAATTAAAAAAAATTACTTATTTAGCACTTCTCAAATAATTTTATGAATAAGTCAAAAAATAAGAAAATAAATCAAAAAAATTATTTTTATCATCCTAAAAGAAGCCTATCATCATAATCATAATGAAAATGTTTGAGATCTTAAAAAAAAAAAAAATCTCATAAATTAATTGGAAATTACATAGACCTGTTTGGAATGGCTTTGTCTGTTTGTTTGTTTTTTTTTTTTTTTTTTGGGGGGGTGTTTGTGTGGGGGCAAAAATAGCTAATAAAGATAAAGGTTGTTTTGAAAACTTGGCTTAAAAGGAAAGGTTTTTTTTTTTTTTTTTCACATCACTTCTTTATTTTTTTACATTATTTTTTTTTAAAAAGTCAAAAATTATTTTTACCAACTTTTTAAAATAATCTAAAATAAATTAAATAGTTAATAATAAAATGTCATATCTAAATCGTAGTGCTTGTTTGGAAAGAGTGGTTTGGAATTTTTCGGTTAAAATGAAGTCACAGAAGAAACAAAATAGACTTTTTAATCCAATATGAAAAAATATCATATCTAATCCATAATCATTACATTTTTTCTCTCACAAAATTTAAAAAGTCAAAAAAACTAATACCAAACGAGACTTTTTAGCCTCAGACTAAAAAAACTAAAAAGCCTACCCACTTTCCAAACGAACCCATAATTATTTTATTATTTCTCTCATAACCATCACATCAACTATAAAAAAAAAAGTCAATTATCATTCCAAATATAACTTTTTTAATCAGAGGCCTTAGAAATATGATATTTTAGTTACTTCTTATTTTTTTTGGTTAAGAGGTAAAAAAAAATTAATATGTTTGGAATGAATTTTTTATTTTTTATGAAAAGATGTGCAAAAAATATAGATAAAATATAATTTTTGAATTTTTGATATAAATTATTTTTTCAACTTTCTAACTTTTAGATTAAAACAAATAATGCCTAAATAAAAAAATAGTCAAATAACTAATTAAAATAATTAAATTCACAAATGGAGCCATAATATGATAAGTGCTTACTTTGATTCGTTAAATAGCCAATAATATTAGACCTAACTCATTTACTATAAACAAATTTACAAGTTCAAAATTGTGCCTCAACCATTGTTCATTACCATAAATATAGAGAGGTCCATGCAAATTTAGGATTCATTTGGGATGTGAGTTAATTTTTTAGGTTTTTGATAATTTTAGCCTATAGCTAAAAAGTTTTGTTTGGAATAAATTTTTTGATTTTTTTTTTTAATTTTTGTGAGAGAAAACATAAAAATAATTATGGGTTAGATGTGATATTTTATCTTATTTGACTAAGATAACTTATTTTGTCTGATATGACTATTTTAGACCCAACCTTTATCCCAAACGGGGCCTTAATAGTGAAAACAAGCATTAGTGGATTGCGATGCTCTGTTTTAAAAAACGATGTCTATTTTCATCTTGAATAATGATTGAGACCCCAACTATTTTTATCATGAATAATGATTGAGACTCTTAGGATGTGTTTGATTGGACGGACTGGAAAATGGGGGATTAGAATCCATCGGACTTGAATCCTGGGACTGTGAATCCCCCGGACTATTTGGTCGGATTGGATATGTATCCTGTGTTTGTTTTTTCATGGGATTAGATGTCTGGATAGGACTATTCTCAGTGAATCCAACGTTTGGTTGGACGGACTGGATAGGATAAATGAACAAAAGACTATTTTACCCTTTTTCAATTGTTTACTATGTAATGTGAGAGAAAACATAAAAATAATTATGAGTTAGATGTGATATTTTATCTTATTTGACTAAGATAACTTATTTTGTCTGATATGACTATTTTAGACCCAACCTTTATCCCAAACGGGGCCTTAATAGTGAAAACAAGCATTAGTGGATTGCGATGCTCTGTTTTAAAAAACGATGTCTATTTTCATCTTGAATAATGATTGAGACCCCAACTATTTTTATCATGAATAATAATTGAGACTCTTATTTCACAAGACCCTTACAAATCTATATCACTTATGATGTGAACTCCACACATATATGAGTAAACCCCACACACACATAGAAGGCCAAGATCTTTTGGGAGTGTGAGGGTCATCCCCAAAGGGGTCTCAAACATTTTCCTTTCATCATTTATAAAAATTGATGATAAGTTAAAATCACTTATTTTTTAAATATAAATACATTAAAATCTATTGCAATATTTGGAAAAAGAAATATTAGATACTTAAAATTTTAGATTCACAAATTTATTTATAATGATGTGATAAGAGAGTTGCACATTTTATGATTGAATGCGTAACAAATTAAAAATCAATACCTATCTTTTCATATTATTATGGGTCAAATTGAAAAAAAAAAAATTAAAATCTTAAACATTTTTCTATTTGAAATTATCCAAAATACTTGGTGGGAGAGGCATTTTATTGTGTGTGACGCACATGCAAAGAGGGAAGATGGATCGTAGCACAAGGTGAGTGGTTAAGGGTGGAGCCCTATATGTACTATTAGTTTGCAATTTGGAGGCAAACTTATAGTACAATTTGAACCAAAATCAAAGGTTGTTTTGTTTTATGTCTCCACCACTTCACCGAAGTAATGGACTCTTTGTGGTGGGATTCAAAGAAAGTTCCCTTATGATCAGGATGATCGTGACGGTGATGAAATGATGGCTCCGCTTATAGAAAAAAATTAATATGATAAAGGATAGTTCTATTTACATCGTTAATTCACCTTTTTACATTTTTTATATGAGTTTTTTTTTTTCAATTTTATTCATGTGTGAAATTATTTTTAAGGATAAAATATTAAAATTAAATATATTTTATTATTTTTTTACATACGTTGGTCTTCAATGTCTATTCCTCTTTTTCTTGTCTTAATTTTTTTTTCTTTTACACATTTTTTTTCAAAAAGTGAGAATTATAGGCCTTGTTTGGTTTGATTTTGGGAGATAAGTTTTGAAAAAATATTTTTAGAAGAGAGTTTAGAAATTTTTTTAATTTGTTTGGTTGTATATTTTGAAAATAATTTTGGAGTTTGGGAGTTTGAGATAATTTGATATTTTGTTGTAATTAAGTAAATGTATGTGAGAGAAAAAATGATTGAAAAAGAGAGAGGATAGAGAAAAAGTGATTGATTGATGTATATAAGAGAAAAAATTATTTTGAATTTTTTTTTAGAAAAATTACAAACCAAACAAAATTTTCAAAAAAAATTTCCAAAATCTTTTTTCCCAAAGCCAAACCAAACAAGGCTTATGGATAAAGAAACGGTGGTGAAGAACCATAAAAAAAAAGTGAAATAGTGAGTTTTTTTTTTTATTTATTTGATAGGTTTTTGTTTTGTTTTTCTAGACTGGTGTTCGACTTTCGTTTGGTGGTTCGAAATCAAACAAAATAAAATAGTCCGGTATCACATTGCCGAGCAAAAAATATAAATCTGGTAACCAACTACCGAATAAAAAATACATTTCTGGTAATCCCAAACTGAATTTTTTAATTTGTTCGGCTTCTCATTACTATGTATTTTCAGTTTCATTTTTTTTTATATTTTTTATTTTTTTGCCTAGAAGGATCATTGCAACAACGCAAGTACTGCAATATTAGTAGACTCTAGTTATAAATTCATTACAGACGAGGTTTGTTAAGTTTTGTTTTATGAATACGATTTTTTTCTTATTTTTAATTTGTATTTACTTTTATTAATAATTTGACGTATAAATATATTTATTATCTTTAGATTTTTAGTAGTTGTGAAACATTAATTAAATAGGTTTCTGACGTTGAAAAGAAGATTGGATTTGTCATTGTTATAAAAACATCAAATGCATAAGGCAAAGGTAGAAAACCAAGACTTTTGCTTATAAAAGAAGTGATTACTATATAGACAA